AGGATATGCTACTGAGAAGCAAGGCAGAATGAGTTTTTAATCAGCAGTGAATGTACAAAAAATAGGTGCACAAAACGCTGAGAACTTTCCGGACAACCTAATAGCTTATACAACTGCCAGTCAGGGAAAGGCAGTGTAGGCATGAGGGGAAGGCGTATCAAGGAAACAATCATTCAGGAATTTTTCATCATGTCATTTACAGGCCTCCTCCCTCCAAGTAGCAATTACAACCCACGCGAAGGAGTTTTCGAAGAGCTAAAAGCCTGACCGAGCCCTAAAGTAGAAAGCGCGACTATGCCACGTCCATGAGACTGTGCCACGCTCACTCTCGTGGTCTGCGTTCTCTTAACCGAAGCCTTGGGCAAGGGGAAGGTGTCAAAACGTGACGCCGCGTGGCCACGCCCAACTATTGAAAGTTCATGCTTAACAATTTCAATCAAAACAATCGCCAATGGAAAAATAAAAAAAAATGCAGTTGGAAGTCAAAAAGTTCTTATTCAATCTCATCACAACACATAGAAAAACGAAATAAAAATAAAACACATGTAAGAAGCGAGTTTAAAATGAGAAAAAACCGTACCTGTAATGCGACCGGTGCTTTCGGCATTGGCTGCCGCGCGATAGGCACCCATCCGATGGCGGCCGCGCGAGCGAACGGCAGCCACGCGGCGACGGACGCCATTTCGCGGCTGACAGCCTGTAAAATAGATGGCTATCGATTAAACCACCGACTGTAATCGCTCTTTATTCAAATTTCGAGAAAGTTGCAATGTATCGGGGAAGTACGAAGAGATAAAGAGGCAAAGCGAGAGTGAGTGAGAAAGGGTCGTGAATGAGCTTAGGGCACGCCTCTTCCCTGCTCGTCTGCCTTCTCGCGAGGCTTCGGTAGATGAGGAGAAATCACTGCGCGAATACTCTCTTAGTGAGAAGGTGCAGACGAAGAAGCGTGACCTAACTTTTCTGACGACTCCCTTCCAGACCTTTGTCCAGACATAACAAAGCGGAAAATCATTGAGCAAACAAAAGAAAGAGGATCAAACAAATCAGTGGGATGCGCCACGCATCAGATGTCTTTTCGGGATCGAAAGCTCGTCCAGAGGTTTGTTATGCTTATAAAGGCCAGCTAAGGCCTGCTCATGCTGAGAGAGTTCTTATTGAGCAATGTTTTTGCCGTTTTTTTGGATGTGAAACTCGACTTTTTGAACGGGATTTTCGTGCAGGTGATAACAGCGCCTCATGCCACTGCACTGCCTTCTCTGATCGATGAAGGTGGAGGAAAAAGGGGAAACAAGAGCAGAAAATGAGGAAGGCAAGGAATTAGCTGGAATGGCACGTGTTCAACAAGAGAACACGCATGTTTCTCCGAATTGATTGTGTACCATTTAGGGCAAGTTTTCCCTGTTCAGGAAGTCAATCTAGATTGGAAGTGCACAAGTTGATTTCCCAAAGGACCCCTGTAGGACTCAGAAAGTTCAGCGACATCTCATGAGAGCATGAAACGACTGAAATGGTGCTGGGGAACTTTTAGATGCCCATTCAATAAATGAAAATGGGACGAATTGATCTTTTCAGGCTGGGGCCAAATGTAGCTCCTTACATTGCCGACCCGGGTTATGGCTCTGAACTGCCAAGGTATATAAGATAACAGGGTTTTTTGATTTTTCTGATGAAGAGAGTCAACGCACTCGGTCAGTCCAGAACTTGTAACGATTGTCTTATCCGACTAAAAGAATTTCGAAAAGATTGCTTTCCGCTAAAAGAATCCACATGAAAGAAAAGATAAGTAGCTAGCCGTCCAGCTACGGGTGAGGGACATTTTGCACTTCCGCCGCTTCACTAGTTCCGGTTTACGAGTCACACTAGAACCTCGTGAGGCCGGAGCACACCCGTCGAGCCACCGTTTTAAATATCATTTTTATGGAATTTCATTCAATTTTACTAGAGCTGGCAAGTAATCTCTACAATCTTTTCGTGACTTGGCAAGATTTCACAGGTCTTCACTTGATGCTCACCATGTCGACAGGCAGTGCAAAGTGCCCCCCCCATTGTCAAACTGCTCCCAAAAAACAGAATTTTAGAAAAAATAAAGGAAAACGTGGTACAAAAATGCTAAGCAGCTCCACTACTTGAAGCAAAAAAAACAGAAAAATCTGCAAGGCCGCAAAATCGACACGGAGCTGTCGCGACAAAAGGAAAAAAATCACGGAATTTTCGCTAATCTGGGAGCTCAGAAGTTTAGCTGGAAGAAAAACAAAAGTGATCAGTTAATTCAAGTCACACAGGCGACTCTCTCTTGGAGTTTGCGAGTTACGTTTCTCGTATTCAACAACTGAAACTGAACTTGAGAGGCAACCGGGGCAAAGAGTAGTAAAACTATGACCCTGCACACTGATGACACTAGCCTTTCTGAGAAATGACGGGTTTCTCTGGCAGTGCTTCCTCATAGGAGGATATAATTTATGGCGTCACTTGCACTGATGAAATCCAAGAGAAATCTGGGCAGATCTTTTTTTCTGCTGGAACTTCTGAAGCACACAGGGTCCTTTCAAGCACCATAAATTTAACATGCCGCTTATTTCC